GTTACAGGAGCTGGTCCCCACACATCTGTATGCACTAGTTCCAGCTTCTCTTTCTTTGGCGTCCTTCCCACCTTTGAGAAACTAACTCTTTTTTGTTTCCCGTAAATGCAATCTTCGCACAAACCTAATTCAACATATATTAGGTTTGACAACTTCTTTTTGGATTCCAAAAGCTTCATTCCCTTCTCACTCATATACCCGAGCCTCCGGTGCCACAATGTTGTATCACGACCATGATCAACTATTGTTATAGTATCTCTTTCTATTGCAGTTGCATACAGTGTTCCCCTTTTGAAGCCTCGTGCCACAACCAAATTCCCTTTGGTTATCTTCCACGATCTGTTGCCGAATGTTGTTGTGTATCCTTCATCGTCAATCTGACCCATAAATATCAGATTTTTCTTGAGGGCAGGAACATGCCGTACATTTTGCAATTTCCATAGCGTTCCTTGTGAAGTCTTTATATGAACTTCACCTTTTCCGGCAATGTCGAGAGGTTCGTCGTCTGCTAGATAAACTTTCCCAAATTTTCCAGCAATATAATTATGCAATAATTTTTTGCATGATGTAGAGTGAAAGGATGCACCTGAGTCCAGAATCCAAGATTCGACTGGACTGTCTGCACAACAAATTAGTGCATCACCGACTTGTTCAGCAATTATATTTGCTGAATTTTCTTCCTTCTTCTTCTTTGGTTCTCTATATTGACTACTGTAGTGACCCTTTTTATCGCAATTCCAACAAGTAATGTCCTTGCGATTTTTGGATTGTCCTCTTCTCCTTGACTTTGATCTGCCACGACCGTAACTCTGTCCTCTTTGGTTGATTCTCCCCTGCTTTCGGTATTAAAAGCATATCCTGGGGAATCACTTGATTCTCTTCGGCGAATATCTTCGTTTAGAACCAAGTCTCTAATATCACTCAATTTGAGTTTGGTACTTCCTGATGAACTGCTAACTACAGTTACTGTTGCAGACCAACTCTCTAGTAGAGATGATAGTAGAATAAACGCCCTGATTTCGTCATCAATTGTTATATTAACAGAACTCAACTGAGTTAATATTATATTAAACTCATTGATATGCTCCGTGACTGATCCACCTTCTGTCATCTTTAAGTTGAACAATCGACGCATCAAATAGACTTTATTTGAAGCAGATGGCTTCTCGTACATATTTGATAACGCCTTCATCAGGCCTGCAGTGGTCTTCTCGTTAATGATGTTAAACGCCACATTTCGTGTTAGCGTTAAACGAATCACACCAAGAGCTTGGCGATCTAATAGATCCCAATATGCTTTGGCCATAGTCTCCGATTTCACCTCGGTCAGAGGTAAGTGTAAATTTTTCTGGTACAAATAATCCTCTATTTGCATTTTCCAGAATCCAAAATCTTTGCCATTGAACTTGTCAATCTTAACCTTCCCTTCTTCCGATGCCATTTTTCATAAAAAACAATTTATGTGAATAGTGCTTGTGAATAGTAACGATGATCAATAGTGTTGCACTATTCTTCTGAATAGTACCTGCACCAATACTGTACTTTTCTACCAGAATTACACTGTTTGTGCTCTGATACCAGTTGTTGAAGAAGCGTGTCAAGATAATAGAAGAAAAAGGATATTTAGGAGAGAAACAATAAATAAGACAAGACAAGACAAGATTTATGTGGTTCGACAATTTTTGCCTACTCCACGGCCACACAAAGAATAGCTCTTTATTAATTGAAGAGAGAAAGAAGAAGTTTTGGGATGTTCTACAAATGAAAATGTAGATCCCTATTTATAGGCATTTGAATGATCTGCCGAGGTAAGCGCTTACATCATAAGAATGCCGATGTAAGCGCTTACATCATAAGAATGCTGAGGTAAGTGCTTACATCATAAGAATGTCGATGTAAGCGCTTCCATCATATTTTCATCTCTTTTTCTTTCTTTTGTTTTGTCTACTTTCACATACAACACTAGGTTTGGTCCTATCATACAGAGGGTAGTTTTCTCAACTTGTTAAGCTTAAAATTCGTCCATTTGTCAAGTGACCTACCCCAAAGGTCAAAGTTCTAGACTAGCTCGATCATTTGTGTCATTGTAAGGACAATTTGAACTAAAATAAAAAAATAACCCTAAGAAGTGGCAATCCTGTAATATCTTTTATATTGGGAGTCAAAATATTGCAGTTTTGGTTTATTTTAATTCCCCTATTTCAAAGGTGTTTCGGTTGGGAATGTGTGGTTATGGTTAGTTATTAGGCGGGATTGCTGATAGTGAAGTCTAAAAGACTTAGGTCAGCTTCAATGGCAGTTTCTACGTTCATGGCTGCTAACAGCAATGTCAAGTTAAACTTTCCAATAGTAAAGAAGGTGGATAAGGTTCCCATTGAATCCTTTCGGGTTTTCTTGAAACCTTTGCGTTGCCTTCCGGTACAGCAGCAGGTATCAGCATTCTGTATAAAAATGTAAATCTCTTCATTTTTTTTTTGTTGTTGCCAAAAGCATAAACTATTGCCTATGTGTAGTTGCCATTTGTTCTTAGCTAGTTTAAATCACATCATTATTCTGTTATTTATGATTGTTATAGATATTTGGTGCAACCGTGCAAGTAACTGTAATTTTTCTGAGGTTCTGTATCGTATGAGCAAAGAATTTGTCGTCTTCTTACTATTTGATTTAGTTTTCTTTTCTAATCTACTTGTTGACTCATTTATATGTATCTTTCTCTATCGTTGAGATTCAGAATCCGAATATTGATATGACCTCTGAAGTTCAGTATTTGAAGATTAAGCTGTTGTTAAGTATGAAACTAGATCAGTCCAGATGGAAATTTTTAATGAAGTAGATGAGAAAGGAAAAATTAATGAAGGGAATGTAAGAAAGTTTTCTATCAAAATGTTGAAGACGTATAATTAAGTACTAAATAAAAGTGTGTCTTCTATTATATCCTAAACTTTTAAATGAAATGGTCACACACTTTAACGCAAAATACTCGAAGAAAGTAGGAAAAACAACAATAACTAAGCCTCAGTCCCAAATGAGTTGGGGTTGTCCATCGCCTGCAAAGTAAAGCCAGACCTCCTTTCTCTTTTACTTCTGTCTTTGTGAGTGCTACAACTGTAACCAATCCTATTTTTTAGTAGTCAAAGTGGCTAACACTAGTAGATTGGATTGTGCCTCCTGCATGTTAAGGCCTGTGTAAAGTCACCCACATTACCATGTTTTCCTGCTCTGACTATCTACTTTATTGGTGAAGATAGATCCTTTCTTTTCTCTTCTTTGCTCACTTTCCCAATTCTGCTTCTTCTCTTCTCCTTTCTCCGCTGCATTTTGTGTATGGGCTTCTCTATCTGCCCTGCTTTAACAGAGAATGCCCATTCATAATCAGTTTAGAATCAGCATAGCTAGCCTGGGTCTGTCCCTCTTCTACTTCTTAAAGATTTGCACTTGTAGTTTAGGAACCCATGGTGCTTTTGTCCATTTATCTCCATGCAATGATGTTGGGAAAGTGAGACGACATAGAGACATCTCTGCATGAATAACTCTCCAGCTCTTTATAAGTTGTTTCTAACAAATTTGAACGCTTAAAGGGCTGGTCCAATGTGTTAAAACAGACATTCCTATGTGACTGTTTTGCTAATAATTAAAGGAAGAACTTTTTGTACTCTGAGTATGTTAAATGAAGCTGACTAGATAATTGCAGTTGTATTTTTTACAAATATTGAAGAAGCCCTTCATCTAATCGTATGGACATTTCATGTACTGAAGGACTTCACCGAAAACACGATGTATATTGATCTAATAATGTAATATGCTTCTATTTGAACCATTTTAACATGGGCGTTGCTGGTTTCTGGACTAACCTGATGAGATCAACTTGTCATATCTCAGCCCTCATTCCCGAGTCTGCAGTCTTCTTGAATATTTCCCCTTCTATGATACAACGTCCCTTCTCTATAGATATTTAGATCTCCATCAGTTTAACCAGGTTCACATCCACAGTTGCTAATAATGAGTTCAATAATAAGAACCTTAAATATTGAACCCATAGAGTTTAAATCCTGAATCCGCCCCTGACTTTAACCGCCTCATTTCTAAGTGGAGATACTTTTAAGTCCGCTGGTCTTTTTCTATTAATATTATCAGCACTAATGCTGACTGTTATCGTCGTTTTAAGATACTGAATCGTTACATCTTGGCTCTTGCATCCTGCAATCCAGTTTCTTGCTTTATTCTTCTTCTTATTGCTGTGATGCAATTGGTTTACCAGTTTAGAAATCTCTAACTCTTTTATTTGTTTTGAAAGGCTGAGTCAGGAATCTTGTGTGAACCTTGTGGTGGCTCTGGATGGTTGCTTTGTGATTTTTGTAAAGGGCAGAAGACCAATGTGAAGTCTGAGACTAACAAAATTTACCGCCGCTGTCCATCGTGTAGAGCTGTAAGTGTTTCCTTTTCACATCACATAGGAGTAGTAATCAGTCTTTGCATTATTTTCTAATGGAACAGTAATAATTACACTCACTGATGTTTTAAACGTTGTTATAAATTAATAAAAACTAGTATTTTTACCTGCGCGATGCGCGGACACAAATATCAAATTATAATTTGAGTTATTGGAGTTACCTTAAAATTTAAAACTTCCAGATAACATATTTCTTTTTATTTTATATCTGTAACAATCTAACTCCTTGATTTAGTGCTTGTATTTTATTTTGTGGTCAATATTAAATAATACTAAACATATCACGTTTGTGATATGTCTTGTTTGAGCATATTATTTAACAAAATTCTTACTATCACTTTATGTTTCACCGCAAATTTGAATAACTCTTATCCTTCTACATTTTCACCCAAAATAACTCTCTCTTTAATCTTTGCTTATAGTTATTGCATTATCTATTACTTAATAATATTATATTCATGTGATATTTTATTAGCTTACCAATTGACTTGATATCTTGCTTATTACCCTTTTGATAAACATATATAAATTTAAATTTTTTTATTCCTAAAATTTAATTTATTTTTGTACTTTTATCCTCTTACTTGGAACTCTATTTTCATTTAAATCTTTCAATAATATTTTTGAGTATTATTTAATTATTTAATATACTTATACTTAATTAATTCAAAGTATAAATATTCTCACACTATCTCTATTTTCCTCTTTATACATCCTCTTCCCTACTATGAATTTTTAGTTAGTTTTTTACATTAATATTTTACCAATAAACAAAATATATAATATCACATTTTATTTTAAGTTATAACTTTGAATTAGTTTAAAATATTAATAGATAATTTTTTTATTATTATATTTTAAATCTATTGAATTTTCTTATAATTGTTTTTGTATCACGTGTAATTAAATTTTCTTTCTCTTTTAACGTTAGGATACAAATAGACTTTAATTTTCGTTCATAAAATTATCCACACGAGATATTTATTTTGTATTTCCTTAGTTTAAATTTGTTATCCAATTTTTAGTTTTTTATCTAGTAAAATTTTAATTTTGTAGTCCTATCCATAGTTTGAGCGTTTCACCATAATTTTAATCTAAATCCCAAGTTCAATCGTCTTTCCCTTCTATTTCTAATATTAAATATTTTTAAATTTTTGATTATTGCTATTAAGTTACCTAATATATAGTATTTCATTTTCTTATGTGGCTTTCATTAACATGCCTCTTTATTTAATATCATAATTTGTTTATATCCTTTAATATTATTATATAAATCAATGTATTATTTTTTAATCTTGAAATAAATATTTATTTTATTTAAAATTAATACCCAAAATTATCAAATTGTTTAAATTTATTAATAATATTTTTAAGCATTATATATTTACTTTATTTTATTTTTTAAACTATTTTATTTCCCTTCTATTTCTTAATATTAATATTTGATTTTTAAAATTTTTTTTAATCTATTAAACTTCAGTTATGTGGCCTTATCCACATCATGACCATTTTTTATCATACTTAAAAAAAACTTTTTATATCAAATTTAAATAAGTTTTATCCTTTTTTGTTCTTTATGATAGAAATTTTAATTTTTTCTATGTTTGTTTCTCATTTTGCTATTGTATATTCAATACTTAATATTATTAACATTGTCATATGCTTTTTATTAGTTTACTTGAATTTAATATCCACTTTTATCACATTTAACAANAGCTTGTACTAAATAAAAAATTATTATTTCAACTTAAAATTAATGTGTAAGATACAAAATAAAATTTTGATTAATTCTTTCTCAAAAAAAGATACCTACCATAACTGAATTATACACAAAATTTTAATTAAAGATATCTACAGTAATGTATATTGCACCCAAAAAAGGTTAGATACAAAGTTTGTACTAAATAAAGAATTACTATTTCAACTTAAAATTAATGTGTAAGATACAAAACGAAAATTTAATTGATTCTTTCTCAAAAAAGGATACCTACCATAACTGAATTATGCACAAAATTTTAATTAAAGATACCTACAGTATTGTATATTATACCAAAATAAGGTCAGTTACAAAGCTTGATCAATTAATTAAAATTCGTCCCTACCATAATTTATTTCGTCCCTACCATAATTTTACAAAAAAATGTTAACTAAATTATACTACTAATAGAGATTTGTATCATGATTAAAAAATAATTCTTATTGAACTACTACTTCCATTAATTATGTTTCCATTTATAATTCAAATTTTTAATGTTGTCTTAAAATTGCCAAGTGACTTTTTTTAGCTTGCCATTTGGCTTAACCTCATGCTTCGCTACTCTCCTTTTAATATAACATAGAAGATTCCAATAACCGCAGGTGGGGTACATATTGTGCTCAAAATGCAAAGTTTTCAAGTGCGTTACCTTCCCAAATTATGAAGACGGTGAGGTCCTCAGCTTTTGAACTTGCAAGTTCATCTCACTTGTTATCTCGAATATTCATTTTTTACCAATTATCATAGATATATATAATTTTACTGACTGGTATATTGTTGTATATGTAATTTTACTTGATATTTGTATTTTCCAATGACCAGAAAAAAGAAAATAAAACAGTCGGAAATTGTGCAAATATCTTTTGAAATTGTGTACACAAACTTCGACTTGTGCAAATTCTTTCAGATTTCAGCGTTGTATAGATATCTGTGCACAAACATCCATTTTTGTGCAAGTTCTTTGATATTTTAGGCATTATATAGATGTGCAAACTTCAATTCCAGGTTATGGCATAATTGTTTTGCCAGTGACAAACCAGTCTAATGAAAGACGACCGTATCAGAGGTTCCAGCTTGTGAGAGTTAAACAGGTCGGAAAATATGCACGGATTCAAATACCAAAATTATAACAAGAAAGTCTACTGCTTATTTTAGTGAGAATTTTCTAAAAATAATTTCGCAGATCTTGTGTCCCTTAAAACATTCATGTGAAGTAAGTGGTCTGTGTTTTCAGTTTTGAAATCCATGAGATTTTAAACACAACACTAGCCCCTACTCCCCAAAAAGAACAAAAGTAAATGATAGTGACACCAGGCATACTTAGTGAAAATACTGAAAGAATAAAACGGAGAAACGAGTACTATAATTTTAAAATGGCGGGCAAAAACATTATTTTAGCACTCTTTTCCTAGTTAGCTGCTTCAGGAATTAGGATCCCTTTATTAATATAAATGTATTCTACAACTTTGTGATGTGTCTAAACAAGAACCTCAAGCTGCTGTCACCCAAATTGATTTTGACAAGGATCTGAGGAACTAACTAGGTAATCACTAGCACCAAAGATATATAAGTACTAATCATCAGGAGAAGTTGTCTTATTTGTTTCTGCTTCTTTAGGCTGGTAAACTGCTTCTAAACACTCTTTAGCTCTGTGAACCTTTGACTGAAGGTAAAAACTCCCATTTTTAGCATTTCGCTCAAACAAGTTATCGTACTTCTGCAAGAAAAAGGAGAAGGATAGTATTTGAGTCATACTGAAGACAAAGCAGTGTTACAAGATAATGACAACATTTAGACGAACCTGCACAATTTCTTCCCATGATGAATTCTCAGTGACGCCAAGAATCTGCCTTGCCTCTGCTTCCGTCATGGTTTTACTAGCTCTTTTAATATTCTGCACTGCTTCTTGAGCAACACCATTTTTCGAGGCATCTGCCATCAGGATGCAGTAAGTACATAGTGTAGCAAGATGTGCGTGGAAGCAAGCATATTACAAACCAAGTTATACCCAACAGCTTAACTCAGAACATCGAATCTTACCACATTTCATTCCTTGAGGTAGGAGCAGGGACATGAATCAACCGTGTTGAAACATATTTTTACATTGATAAACAAGTGTATGTAATGCAGATTTTGTTAATAATTCCTCCGGATTAAATTCCCAAGGAAAATCACACGCTGTACCTCTATTTAGTATTAACATAGTACATTACATGTCTTCAAGGGGATGGCAAAGTGGTTAAGACAAAAGCAATAATCTGGAAATCTCTACTTTCAAATCCCAACTACAATCGCTTAGTGTGAGCCTATCCGCTCCACCCCCAGGTGAATAGGATTACGTAGCCCATACGCTTGTGTTGTAGCAGGATGTTTGATAGATTAGCCTAATGGGCGTGCAAGCTTACTCAAACATAAACATAATAAAAGAATTCACAACAAAAAATTGCATAGAATTTAGGGACGCATCTAGTAGTTATCGCTGAATCAATAGATCTAAAGTACCATTCACCACATTCCTAGGGAGTTACATGAACCTCACATCTAACAAACAGGAAGAGCGCAACAGTTCTGAAATGCTTGTGATGCAGAACGACTCAGATTAATTGCCTATAGGATTAACTAATTTTAAAAAGGGGGAATGTGAATTCAGAAGATACTTACTGGCTAATGCCTGGCGATATGCTTGAACAAAAGCCCTTGCCAATATAGAAGAGCCCATTACAATTAAATTAGCAAGAATTTTTGCAGCCTGCCTCAAGAACAACATGAGTTGTGTAATTGTCGAAATGAGATATCATTTCAAGTACATGGCACATGAGAATGCAAAGGATATGAAATAACATCAAATAAACAGTGACATAATGTGAGATATGGCCCAAAATATCAACTTTTCTATGATAATAACCATGTAGAAAGAGTTTCAATTCTATGAGTTTACTTTGTTTAGGGGATAGAGGGGAGATCACATGGTTGGTCGTTAAGCCATTTTTACTTGGCCACAGATGGTTGCCAGTTCAAGCCAGCTAAGTAAAGAAAAAACCTAACTTAAAATGGCTTTTAAAAAAAAGGAACAAAAAGCACATTGGCAACAAATGCTTTGCAACGTTTATTGTCACGACCCATTTTCTGAACAAGCCGAGACCGGCACTCGATCACTAAACATGACCGAGCGAACCATCTCTGCTTATCAAATCTATTATAACTCCAAACTTTATATGCAACAAGGCAATACTCCAACCAAATACTTTTGATTAATGTAAATATTTAAATAAATCAACTCCAAAACTTTATACGTAATAACTACTAAATATATGCTAAGTTATTATAAAAAAAGCATCTGAATCTTAACCCATTGACTATGTCTATGAAGCCTCTACTGATAAACTGACGCACTGCTCAGGACATAAGATTTTCTGGCCAGTTCTCTAAGTAACAAAGAAATAACTAAATAAAGATGACTCTAAGAAATACTCCAC